GCTCAGATCCACAATATCCTCTCTGCTTCGTCATCCTTCAAGAAGGACAACCGCATATCCTCCTCCAGCGCTTCCGTACCGTCCGGTCACCACATCTCCCACGCCGTCGACACAGCAACAACCGCATTTCTCGAGTTTGTGTCAAATGGGCATGTATTTTTTAGGCCTGGATTTATTCTGACTGGGCTCTTGTGTGGATCTGGTTAGGCTTAGCCCATAGTCTTGATCCTAGCCCAACATCAAAGCTTCTTGAGGTTCTACCGTCGACGACTCTATGTGTAGTCCAATTCCGGCAGCCTCTCCTCATCTTACTGCAACATCATTTGATCTCATCATCTCCCGTCTCTGTCAACTGTGATGCTTTAGAAGTTGTACCGTCGGCGACTCTGTGTGTAGTTCTACTCCAGTAACCTCTTTGTACCTCATCGCATTGTTAGGAAATCTAGACGCCTTCAGAAACGGTCTTCAAATGTATCCAAACCCAATTAGTTGGGTTCTTCAACGGCGTTTTCGATTTCTTTGTGTTCTTTCGAACGCAAGCTTTGAAAATACAAGTGAAAATTTTCTACGGGTTTCTTCTCTCCTTAGTCATTTCTATCTTTCGTTATGTTCTAGTTAAGTTAGAGCATCCACAGCCGTGAGACCCATAGGAATCCTTAACAAAAAAGGTATTTCCGATTTGATAAAGATATTTCAGATTTTTTTTTTAAATGACCATTCACGGGCCGCCATGTGAGAAGTAGGGCCCGTGAACATGAAGAGATCAGTCCTTAAGAAAGGATTTAAAAAAAAAAATTGTGGCACAAACTCATAGAAAATTGAGTTTCTCACTTTGCTAAAGACTCCTTAAGAAGATCTATTGTGCATGTTCTTAGCTTCTCTATTTACGGTCGAGTATATCTCCAATTGTAATTGACTTAGTTCGTTTAATTTTAATATAATATCGGTTGTTCAAAAAAAGTTGATCATTCCATAGGATTTTGTTATGGGATGATGTCGTGTTTTGAACTTTGACGTACCTTTGGTGCGATATCAATCCATATGACTATATATATATATATGAGTTGATTTCTTATTGGGACACTTTTTTCACTTTTACTACATAATAAGACACTTAACACTTGTTGGGTACTTTCTGATCACCAACTTTGTCTGTGGAGACTAAAGTACCCTTTCGTGTGGTTAAGTTATTTGGTGTGGTTAAGTTATTTTGAGAATAATATAATTAACAAATCATGTTTCCTTTACCCCAACCAAACCTGTTTCGTACTAGGATACTCTTTATTATGGTTGGTTTATAGAAAACAGAGTCTCCTAACAACCGTTGGATTGCTGAGAATCTAAGGCTTAGAGAAGAAGTAGGTTTTTGATAATAAATGCTCTGTTACGTAGGTTTCTTCCTCGGGCAAAATTTTTCAGAAGAACAACCTCCAGCAAGGTCTGTCAAGGTTTCTTTTTTTTAGATTTAAGTTTTACACCGAAGATAACAAAACTTGTTGTTACACAGGTTTCTTCCTCGGGCAGATTTTTTCAGAAGAACAAGCTCCAGCAAGCTTTGTGAAGGTTTGTTTTTTAAAATTTAAGTTTTACACCGAAGTTTTAGGTCTTTGAAGTTTTTTTTTTTTACCTTAAGTGTTTAGGAAGCAGGTCCTCTGCTATGGAAGAGCAATGTTTGGTTTTAAGCGGTGACTGGGTATGTGGAGAGGGAGGGAAATGGGATTTCGTGGTTGAGAAGAATAGGATGGGGCGTATGGTACCCTTATACGAGGGTATTGGTTACTTGGAACTTCAGAGGAATGTTTTTCGGGAATTTAGAATGGATGAAGCTGGGTTCGATGTTTCGTTGAGCTATTGGCCACCAACAAGTTTTGAGCTAGCTACTGGGATTCTGACTCCTCCTGTTCTGATAACAAGCGACGGTTCTGTCAAATACTTTTGCCAACATCTGAAAGTGAATGGTGGGATGAATCTGTTTGCAAAATTTGCCACGAAAACCTTGTCCGTGGACGCCGATTTTGTGGATGACTCTGGAATGGGATTTGTGTCGCCAAATGCAGCAAAGTTTTGTTCTGGGAATCGTCAGAAGGGTTACTTGTCCTCTGCTTTGTCGAAGACGAAGGTTGTAAACCTTGGTGAAGATAATGATTTTTTCAGTGAGGTAGAGTCATTGGAAGCCCAAATAATGAGGGAGAGTGATAAAGGGGAAAGTAGGAAGGTTGTGGAGGAAAGTGGCGCTAGTATTGAGACAGAGGGAACATGTAATGTGGAAGCTGAGTTGAACGAGATTGAATTGAGGCCTCGAAGTTACGACAAAGACTTTTGGAAACCGTTACTAGATGGTGATTATGGCGGTTCAGATGCTGTTGATGTTGTCTTCAACGAAGACGAGATTTTTGAAGGGTTGAACAAAAAAAATGGGCCTAGGAGTTACTTTTGCGAGACGGGTAATTGTTCTGGTGGGGATATGGGTGGAGAAGATAAAGGAAAAGCAGAGAAGGCGAGGGGATATAATCCTTGGAATGGAGGTGGCGACGAAGTTGGTGGAGGTGTTAACATTACCGGTAGTCGAAGACGTAAGCTTGCGGATGTTGACGACGAAGAATTTGATATCCCGCCCTTGTTTGACGATACAGAGTATGAAGCTGCTGAAATTCCTGACATGGATGTTGATGAATGTGATAGCCAAATAGCAGTTGGAAAGGTGTTTGGGAGTAAGGAGGATTGTCAAATAGCTTTAGCAATTTATGCTATTAAAAAACAATTCAAGTTCAGGCAGACAAGGACCAAAATTGACTATTTTGTTGTGCAGTGTCCAGACGAAAGGTGTGATTGGCGTGTTACTGCACATGAAATCAGAGGGTGTGGTTACTATCAGATAAAGAAGGCGCAACTTGATCATGTTTGCCCGATAGAATTCAGGCAGGGCTACAAGAGTAGAGCAACATCACGTGTGATTGCAGCTGTATACAAAGCAAAGTTTGGGAACCCCGGGAAGTCGCCTGTAGCAAGGGATTTGCAGAAACTGTTGTTGGAGGACCTTCGTGTAAATGCCTCGTACATGAAGTGCTACAGGGCCAAGGAAAAGGCGGTGTTGGGAATGAGAGGTTCTGACGAGGACTCATACTTAAAGCTTCCCGAGTATCTTCACATGCTGAAGCTTGCAAATCCTTGTACAATTGCGGATTTGGAAACAGATGTAGATGAAGATGGTGATGAACGTTTTTTGTATCTCTTTCTTGCATTTGGTGCTTCATTGAGTGGATTTAGGAAGCTAAGGCATGTTCTGGTGATAGATGGTACACATCTTAGTGGCAAGTACAAAGGTGTTCTATTGACCGCTAGTGGGCAGGATGCCAATTTCCAGATCTTTCCGCTCGCTTTTGGGATTGTGGACAGTGAGGATGAGGATGCGTGGACCTGGTTCTTGCAGAAAGTTGAGAGGATACTTGGTGATTCGCCTTCTCTTGCAATAATATCTGACAGGGCTGTATGTATTTCGAATGCGGTGAGTAAGATATATCCGCAAGCAAAACATGGAGCTTGCATAGTTCATTTGGCAA